CACCAGCCCAGGCCATGCCACTGCAGCCAGAATCCCTGCTCTGGGCTTCACCAGCCCGTGCCATGCCACCACCTCTCCTCCAGGCTTTACAGAGCGGCTGACTCTGTAGCCACGCTGCCCTCTGAAGACACCACCATCCTGAACCCATCAAAACCACCTTCCTACCGAAGAGCTCTCTTTAAAAGGCAAGTTTTAAGCAAAAACTTTAAAAAATTTTTTGTTTTTTTGCTGAGAAAAGAAGACTGGGAAGGAAGGAAAAGAGAAGAAAAAGAGGATAAACCTGGGCACAGGAGTCCAGACGCTGCCTACACCTCCACCACCATAATTCCCACTTGTTAGTTGAATGAGAATGGGCTCTTGTCTTAAAGTGTATAATTTGTTTCATGTCAGCAACAAAGTACAAATTACACTGATGACAATAGACATTGTTACAGTGACCATGAGGAGGACCTGGATAGGGCGCTGCACTCCTTCAGGATCCTCACCACCAGATTCTCCCACCAGATCCATGAGATATCATAGTAGGTGGTGCTAAAGGTAGTCCTCTGTATTAACCCTTTCAGAACTTGATGCAATAGTACTGAAAGAGTACTCAATCAGAGGTGTTGTTCTTCATGGGAGCCATTAAACCAAGGCCCGTCAGGTGGCTGTAAAGATCCCAGTGCATAGTGTTGAAGGAGAACAGATGAGTTCTGGACAATACTTAGCTCAAAAACGTGGCTGCAAATGGATCAACACCGGGAGCTAAATATCCAAAGTTACACATCCTATCAAAAGGACAGGCAGAGGGGGCAGGGTTGTCTTGTCAGTAAGAAGTGAAATTAAATCAATAGCAAGAAATGAGATAGAGTTGGAATTTGGGTGGGTAGAGCTGAGGGACCGCAAAGGAAAAAAGTCCCTGATGTGAGTTACGTACAAGCCTCCAAGCAGTAGTCAGGATGTGGGAAGAAAATAAATCAGGCGGTAGAAAAGGCACATAAGGAATGCACTGTTACAATAATCATGGGAGTCTCATTATGTAGGTGAGAAAATCAGGCTGGTAGCAGATCTGAAGAAAAGAGTTTATAGAATGTCTACAAGATATTTTTATTTGAGCAGCTTGTGGTAGAGCCTACTAGGAAACAGGCAGTTCTGGATTTGGGATGTGTGAAGAGGCAGACTTGATTAGGAAGCTAAGTTGAAGGAAGCCCTGGGGAATAGTGATTATACTATGATAGAATTGACCCTGCAGTTTCAGAGGGAGAACCTGGAACCAGATCTAATGGTATTACAATTGAGTAAAGGGTACTACAAAGACATGAGGGAGGAGCTGGCCAGATTTGATTGGAATGGGAATCTAGCAGGGAAGATGGTGGAGCAGCAATGGCAGACTTTTCTGGGAATATTTCAAGAGGCAGAGCAGAGATTCCTCCCAAGGAAGAAGAAACATACTAAAGGGAGGACGAGGCAACCATGGCTGACAAGGAATATCAGGGACAACATAAAAAGATACAATGTGGTGAAGATTAATGGGAAGTAACAGGATTGGGAAGCCTTTAAAATCCAGCAGAGGACAACTAAAATATCAGTAAGGGGAGATCCCGAAATATGAAGGTAAGCTATCTAGTAGAAGGGGCAATTCTAGTAGTATAAAAGAAGATTGCAAGTGTGTTTTTTGGATATGCAAAAGGTAAGAGAGGGGGGTAGAGTGAACATTGGACCACTGTAAAATGAGGCTAAAGAAGTTGTAATGGGGAAAAAAGATATGTCCAAGGAACTGAATGTGTATTTTGTATCAGTTTTCACAATGGAAGACATCAGCAGCATACCAGAACTTCTAGAGTCAGGTGGCAGATGTGAGCGTAGTGGACATCACTAAAGAGAATGTGCTGGTGAAACTAAAAAGTCTGAAGGAGGATAAATCACCCAGACCAGATGGATTACACCGCAAAGTTCTGAAGGAGATAGCTGAGGACATTGTAGAGGAGATCGTTCAGGAATTACCAGAGACAAAAAGAGTCCCAGAGGCCAGAAAATGGCTGATGTAACACGTTGTTAAGAAGGGAGAGAGACAAAAGACAAGAAACTGTAGGCTGGTTAACCTGACCTTGGTGGTTGGTAAGGTTTTACCCCAATATTAAGGATGACATTGTGGAATTCTTGGAAATGCATGGTAAAATAGGGCTGAGTCAGCACAGCTTCAAGGGGAAGTCATGCATGACAAATCTGTTAGAATTCTTCAAGGAGGTAACAAGCAAGCTAGACAACAGTGATCTATTTGGACTTCTAGAAGACTTTTGATAACATGCCGTACAGGAGGCTGCTATATATAACAGCCCGTGGTTTTAGGAGCAAGGTACTGGCATGGATAGAGAATTGGATGACTGGCAGAAGGCAGGGAGAAAGGATAAAAAGATCTTTTACAGGATGGCAGCCAGTGACTCATTAAGTTCCGCAGGGATCCATGTTGGGACCATACTGTTCACATTATACATTAACGATCTGGACAAAGGAACCAAGGACGTTGTTGCTGAGTTTGCAGGTGGCACAAAGACAAATGGAGGGACCGGTAGTGTTGAGGAAATGGGGAGGCTGTGGAAGGACTTGGACAGGCTAGGAGAATGAGCAAAGAAGATGTGGGAAATTATGAAGTTATGCACTTCGGTAGGAAGATTAGAGGCATATACTATTTTCCAAATGGGGGAAGGCTTCGGAAATCTGAAGCACAAAGGGATTTAGGAGCCCTAGTTCAGGATTTTCTTAAGATTAATATGCAAGTTCATTTGGCAGTTAGGAAGGCATATGTAATGTAAGCATTTGTTTCAAGAGGGTTAGAATACTAACAGCAAAGATGTACTGCTGTGCTTTATAAGGCTCTATTTAGAATATTGTGAGCAGTTTTGACCCCCATATCTAAGGAAAGATGTGCTGGCCTTGGAGGGGATCCAGAAGAGGTTTACAAGAATGATGGAACACAAAC